CTGCAGTGCAGCCCACGGGCCCTCAGCAGCTGTTGCTCACCCCTGGGCTAGATATAATTTTTAAATCAATTATGGAATGCTTATTCCTGACTTTTTCCTCAGTTTTTTCTGCTGTCAGGATGGGTGAGCACAGCCCTGAGTGGCTTTAATGTTAAGCCTTCCCTTCCCAGCTGCCTCAGCACAACATTTTCTGGAAGATGTTCTGTTCTGTATGAATTGAAAGGGATTTATCAGCTGTTTAGGGTCCTTTAGCAAGTTATTCTTCCAAGTAGGTTTTTTGGTTCTTACACTTCCTGGTCTGTGAACACCTCACTACAAAGGGTGCTGGAGAGGGATTTTGAGGGGACACATCAGATCTGGGCTGTGCTGAAGGGCACAGGTGCTCCATCTGAACCATGGACAGCCAGAGATTGACTAGAGATAAACCATAGATAAACCATTAATAAACCATAAATAAACTATAGAGAGCCATGAATAAACCATAGATAAACCACAGATAACCCATAAATAAACCAGAGACAAGCCAGAGATAAACCATAATAAAACCATAAATAGACCATAAAGAGCCATAGGTAAGCCATAATAAAACCATGAATAAACCATAGATGAACCATAAATAAACCATAGATAAAACACAGATAACCCACAAATAAGCCAGAGTTAAACCAGAGAAGAACCACAAATAAACCATAGATAAACCATAGATGAACCATAAATAAACCAGAGACAAACCAGAGATAAACCATAATAAAACCATAAATAGACCATAAAGAACCATAGATAAGCCATAATAAAACCATAAATAAACCATAGATGAACAATAAATAAACCACAGATAAAGTATAGATGAACCATAAATAAAATATAGATAAACCATAGATGAACCAGAAATAAACTATAGATAAACTATAGATGAACCATAAAAAACCATCAATAAACCAGAGATAAGCCATAGCTAAACCATAGATAATTAATAACTTTCTGCTGAGGAATTTCCTGCCAGACACTTTTCCAGGGGATGGTGAGATTCCAATACATTTTCACTTTTCTGAAAAGACACTCCATTTTCCCTTGGGCTCACGGGGGAATATTTGACCTATATCAGATGATTTCATTTCTTTATTCAGACTGAAGTGCTTTGGATCAAATTAATTCAGAATCCTGTCAAACAGAATTTCTCTGCTGCTCAATGTCTGACAGGAGCTGCTCTGTACCGAGTCCCCAGCTCCTCCTCTGAGGATACTGATGGGGTTTTCAGGAGAAAGGGAAAAGGTTTGCAGCTCCCATGAAATAGGAATTTACTTGAAGACAGTGGGGTGATCTTTTCCATGGGCAAGGGATTTTCCAACTTTGGGAGTGGTATAATTGTCATTGGCAAAGGATGCTCTGGCATTGTCAGGGTGTGGATAGGTGATAATTAAGAGACACAATAAAATAGCAGAAGGTTATCCTGAGCAGGGATATCACTGAGAACCAACACAGGGAATTTCAGGCTGTCTTAGGGAGGGAATTGGAGCTATAATCTTTCCCAATGTGGAGTCTCAAATTTTATCTCTTGGCAGGTTTGTGAAGGTCTTTGGTCAGATCGCTCAGAAATCAGTGAAAATTAAACTTTTGTTTCTGTTTGAGAGGCTAAAAAGCAGCTGGGACTCAGGAATGCAGGAACCTAAACACTGGGCTGCTGTGGGAAGTGGTTTATGCTGTACCCTGAGCACCCCCAGGCTGAGCTGTCTGCACGTCTGGACCTGGATCCTTAACTCTGATCCTTCCCTGTGGATGACATGAATGCATCAGAGCACTCAGACCTATCAGGGGAAAGCTCAACCTCCTGCAGATGCCTTCTGGGATCATTCTCCCTTTATTTGAGATGGTAAAATGGGACCCAGCTCTCCTCCCAAGCACAGAACCGTTTCTGTGGCACACATCTCGCACCCCTGGGCAAGATCCCAGTGCACCCAGCAGCTCATTGGGTGTTGGGTTTTTGTGTTAGAGTCAGGTTTAACCCCTGGATTTGCTCTGCCAAATCAAACATTGGTGCTGTGCTCACCTCAGGCATTCCACACAGCTGGAACTTACTGGAACAAAAGATCTGAAACTCCTGGAGTCCTGCACCTTCCTTTGCAAACTGGTCCTTGGCGCTCCAAATGAAATTTCAGGATGTCAGAGCCCCCCATGACGATTTCCAGGATTGATTTCCTGGCTTTGATTTACAGAGATGGAGGCAGCAGCATCCAGGTGGGTTTTTGCTGTTTGATTTAATGTCACCGTGTCAGGAACTGATCCCAGCTGAATTATAATCAAACAGAAATGAGGGTGTCTAGACAGGCGTTTGCATAGTTGAACAACACAACTTCACCTAATTGGATGCTGGTTTGAGCACAGACCCACGAGGAAGGACAGACACAAACAGCCCCTTGCTGCAGGAGTGACATTGCATGGAGCAAAAATCCTGGAGAGGGAGCAGAACCTCGGGAATGGTGACTGGAGGGACAGCAGGGAGGTGGAAAAGTGACACGAGCTGTGTCCCCTCAGGGTGTCACATTAAACAGGGGGACTTTCTGTCCTGGCCTCTGACATGGCTCCCCTGCCCATCCCTACTCCAGGGAGGACACAGCTCCTTGCTTTCCTGCTCCCTCACTCATGGAGGGAGGGGACAGGGCCTAGACAAGGAAAGAAATAAACCCACACACATTTAACAGCGTAAAGCCAACCTCGGCTGCCAGAGGAGCCTGCTAATTAGCTTAACGAGATTTCTTGGAATGAGAAAATATTACTTATTTCATTAGCTGCATGATAATTGTGCTTTGGAATGAATCGAGAGATGAATCTGAGAATTAAGATGTAAAAAAAAATAACCACTGCCAGTAAAATGTTTTAACCCAGCAGCCAGGTTAGGTTTAATATCAGGAATATTGTGGGGAAGGAATGACACGGAGCATCAGGAATGGCATTTTTTTCTTCCATGACAAATGTGGAGAGCTTGTCCCCCATGTTCCTGGGGATCCCAACACCAAGGATTTCTGCTGTCAGAGCTGGACCCCGAGCTGAGCCTGGGTAACCCAAAATGTGGGGTCCTGGGAGCACCTGGAGAAGAATTCCTGGGATTTTCAGCAGCACTGGTGAGCACAGAACAGAGCACACACCTTGGCCAGGGCTGTCCCAACAGAGCCCTTGGGATCTGAGATTCCAGAGGGGTGTCCAGAGGGTCAGACCCTCCACAGGTGGATTTGTGGAGATTGGATCATTTTTTGGACACTGTAGAGCAGCAGGAGCTGCCAGGTTTGGGATGCAGCTGCTGGGCTGGCAGAATGTGGTAAATAATGGGAAAATTACTCCATGAATAATGGGCATATTGGATGAATAATCCCTTGGCAAATAATCTGGGATCTGCTGGAGCTGTCAGCAAGGGCCGGGTGCTGCCTGCGTGTGCTGGGGAAGGGCTGAGGAGTCTGCAGCTCCAGATCCAAGCTTTGCTCAACAAAGCCTAACAAAGCCCAGATGGCTGGTGAATAAAAAAGGTTTTCATCCTGCAGAAAAAATCGTGGAATCGATGGTTCTGCCGAGCTGGGGGTGGGAAAGGGAGTGAAAATAAACCCAAAAATGCGAGTTCACTCTGCAGCGGGGCTGAAAGGAAAAGTGCAAACAAGCAAGGTGAGGAGCAGCTCTGGGATCAAGGAGAAGGTGCAGAACATCAGCAGAGCTCCGAGCCACCCTGCACCTCCACAAACAGGGGACCAGTGATGATCTGTCCCTCTGTGCCACCCTGTCCCTCTGTGCCACACCTGCCCCTCTGTGCCACGCCTGTCCCTCTGTGCCGCACTTGTCCCTCTGTGCCACCCTGTCCCTCTGTGCCATGCCTGTCCCTCTGTGCCACACCTGCCCCTCTGTGCCACCCTGTCCCTCTGTGCCATCCTGTCCCTCTGTGCCACACCTGCCCCTCTGTGCCACCCTGTCCCTCTGTGCTGCCCTGTCCCTCTGCTGGGTTTTTAAACCTTCCCCAGGTTCCTCTGAGCTGCCCCAAACCAGGCCCTCATTCTGCTCAGGACCAAAGGAAGCAGGAGCTGTTCTGGGAACCAGGTGTCTCCACCGTGGTGATGTGCTCCTGAAGTGGCTCTGTGTTTGGGGGATGGTCAAACTGGTTTCCAGGCCAAAATCAAAGCCAAATTCTGTCATTTGTTTTTTTCCCAGGCAGTGCTTAGCGATTGGAGAGAGCCCTGCCTGGTGATCACAGCTCAGTCTGGGGGTGACAGCAGGGGACATGAGCTGATTTCTGTCCCCACCTCCTCCCTCAACCAAAACCTCCTGCCAAGTTTATTCCCATTCTGAATCTTCCTTTCTGGATGTGTTCCCAGCACAACCCTTCTACAAGCTCTGAGCTCCTCAAGCATCATCCCACAGGATCCCACAGCTGGAACACAGGAGCCAGGGGACAATTCCAGATATCCTGGACTCCAGTGCCCCCAGTTCTGCTGAGCCTGTCTGCATCGATGGTTCCATTCTTGTGCTCCTGAGCAGACAGGGATGAGTTCCCTCCTCTGCATCTCCAATGAGCTGCTCTGGGTAATGTACACTTGGAAACTGAGAGCCGGCAGCTGCAGGGTTTCTTTGGTCCCCTGAGCTCCCAACTTGTTTAATAAATTTGTATTTTTGTGAGCAGCACAGGCAGTTGTGAAGGTGAGCTTAAAGGGAAAACTGCCTGTGAGCAGAACTGATTAAATATCAGGAAATACAAAGCACCCTGAGACCCAAACGACAGAGCCACCTGATGAAAAATCCACAAAGAGATTTTAATTAGAATTTATTACAATGGGCAAAAATAAACATCTAAAAAGTCAAGATTAAATCCTTCAATCAATACAGAACTTCACAGAGAGAAAGGATTCTTCCTCCTTTCCAGCATCAGCCCAATCCCTTCTCTGAAGGCCCCTGGAAACAGAAAGACAAAGAAAAAAGGGTTGATGCAGCAGATTTAACATCCAGCTGCAACCAAATATCCTCACCCCACCAGGGTGTCCTGGTGTCCATGAGCTCCCAGTTCCACCACAGCAAAGCATTTCAGCATCCCATCCATATCCTGGATCACATCCATGTCCTTCATCCCATCCATGTCCTTCATCCCATCCACATCCTTCATCCCATCCATGTCCTTCATCCCATCCACGTCCTTCATCCCATCCTCATCCTTCATCCCATCCATGTCCTTCATCCCATCCATGTCCTTCATCCCAAACACATCCTGCATCCCACCCATGTCCTTCATCCCACCCATGTCCTTCATCCCAAACACATCCTGCATCCCATCCATGTCCTTCATCCCACCCATGTCCTGCATCCCATCCATGTCCTTCATCCCATCCATGTCCTTCATCCCAAACACATCCTGCATCCCATTCTCATCCTTCATCCCATCCACATCCTTCATCCCATCCATGTCCTTCATCCCATCCACATCCTTCATCCCATCCATGTCCTTCATCCCATCCATGTCCTTCATCCCAAACACATCCTGCATCCCATCCACATCCCATCTACATCCTTCATCCCATCCATGTCTCTCATCCCATCCACATCCTTCATCCCACACATGTCCTTCATCCCAAACACATCCTGCATCCCATCCATGTCCTTCATCCCATCCACATCCTTCATCCCATCCTCATCCTTCATCCCATCCACGTCCTGCATCCCATCCATGTCCTTCATCCCAAACACATCCTGCATCCCATCCACATCCTTCATCCCATCCACGTCCTGCATCCCATCCACGTCCTGGATGGAATGAAAGGACACAGCCTTAAGCTGTGCCGGGGAGGTTCAGGTTGGACATCAGGAATCTCCTCACAGAAAGGGTGGTTTGGCATTTGTCGCTGTTGGACACAAAATAAGTCACACGGACGCAGCTCAAGGTATGATGAAGAAAAAAGAGCACTTCATTTCTTCTCTGACAGTTTACAGGTTTCTGACCACGGCCAGGGATTGGGTAGTCAGGATAATACCTTTCCAACCACACTGGCCGTGAGAGATGTCCATCAAAAGACATGTAACAGAAGAAATGTATACATATCTATGTTTACAGTTACTGTCCTGGGAAAGCTCTTTAGAAACTATGTCAACAAGCTCCAAAAGCTGAGTTTTCAGGCCGACAGGCATTGGAATGGGCTGCCCAGGGAGGTGGGGGAGTGACCATCCCTGGAGGTGTTTAAGGAAAGCCTGGATGTGGCACTGAGTGCTGGGTTTGGTTGATGAGGAGGTGTTGGGTCACAGGTTGGACTCAGTGATCTCAAAGGTCTTTTCCAGCCGGGTTAATTCTGTGGCTCATTCCCCCTGTCCCGTCAAAGCCTTGTAAAATGTCCCTCTCCATCTTTCCCGTCAGCTCCAAAGCAAAGCTCTGCAGCACATGAAGGACAATCAAGGTCTGGATGTCTCAGAGGGACACCAGGTGACACAGGGACTGTTGGAACAGAGCTCTGACAGAAATCAGGTCAGCCTTCAGCCCAAGCAGCATTTCAGGTTCACCAGCACCTCTGTCTGCTGCCCAAAAGACTCAGCAGGTCCTGTCAGAAGCTGGCAAAACTTTCATGAAATAAATTATCGTCAGGTTTTGTAATGAGCCAAAATAGGGGAGGAAAAAGAGAAATTCAGGGAGTGGGAGACATTTCTAAAGTCATTTTTCTTATTTATCAAACAGACTCAGGCAAGGTCATTTTGTGCCTTTGACCTGGGTACAGAAGGATTTTAAACCATCCCAAATCTTTGCTCTGGTCCAGGCTGGATCAGCACATGGGATCAGGGATGTGCTGCTCGTCCCCACTGCACTGGTGGCTCCCCCAGCTCACTCCCAGCCTGCCTTTGCTGCACCTCTCACCCCAGGCCGTGGCAGGTGGGACACTGCTGCTGGGAGCCTGGTGGCATCTGGTGGCTTCCAGAAGAATAGGGTGATGTTTGAGCCAGCTCACAGAGGTCAGCACAGGCAGGGTTTCCTTCTGGTGAGAAACTCTCCGTGGCATTGGAGAGGCTGATTCCAATCTGAGCACTGCAGAGGAGTTGTCTGCTGTATTTTCCAAGTCCTTTATTTTGCTCAGAAGCAGTGAAATGGATTTTCAAGCAACCTCTCCTTTCACCCACTGATTCTTTGCTGGTAACATGTATTTAATTCCAGAGCAGCGTGTTCCCAGAGTGTCTGGAAGGTAAATGAGAAACTTTTGCTATTCAGAAGGAAAAATAAAATGTCTTTCACAGCTGCTGCCTATTCTTACAATTGTTGCTACTCCAAACAAGTTTGCCTGCAATGTGAAATAAATGTCCTCATTTATAATCCTTGGAAATCACAAAAGAAGCAGGTGAAGGCTTCCTAGGAAAGAGAGTGTGGGAATGAGAGAAACAGCAATTACGGAGCGCAGGGACTGAGATGTTTTGGGATGATTTTGTACTGGGAAAATGGAAATGGCCATGACAGGAACATCTCAGGAAGGGAAAGACCCTGGAGATTCCCTCCTGGCCCCATCCAAAGGTTTTCAGCAGGGATGGAGGAAGGGCAGGGCTCTGAAAGATCATTTTTGGACCTACCGTTTCATCAGCATTAAAAACTGGGATGAAAAGTCACACTTAACTTTCAGGTTCCTCCCAACCAAACCCATTCCATGACTGTGACAGTAAAGGCAGCCCTGCTGAGCACAGGGATGATCCCAGCTCCATGTCAGCACTTCCCTGCCTTTCCCAGGAATGCTCCAAAGGGCTGGCAGTGTCCACAGGGACACCCCCGAGTCCCTGCAGCTGGTGCTGGAATTGCAGCAAGATCTGTGGCAATTCCTGCCACAAACCTTCCCCCTGCTCTCCTGTGAATGGAGCATTTTTAATTAACACACAGTTTCAAAGGCTGCAAGACTTCCTAAATCAATGCAAATTCTGTGTTTGGGCAGGAGGAGGAGGAGGGGGATTTCAGAGCCCACTCTGTGAGGAATGAATATCATCTCATGGCTGCTCCAGTGCACAGATGTCTGCTCAGGAATGGATTTCTGGCCATCAAACATTGTCTTTGATGCTGTCAGACAGCTTTGCCGTGTTTGATCCTGATTACCCTGAGCATCCCACTGTGAGCTGGGGTGGAATTAGATGGGAAAGGATCCCAGCAATTTATTCCACATTGCAATTGTCCCGTGAAGTATTTCTGTGGCTGAAGTTACACACACCTTCCCTGGGTGTCCTGCTTCAGGGAAGATTTTCCTGATTAAAAAGAGGGAAGACAGAGAAATATTGGAGTGAAGAGGCTTCCCAAACACTAATTAAAGCAGTGGATGGAACCCACTCCAGCCAGATCCAGCTGTTCCTCACAGCAGGGACAATAAAATCTCACTTGCTGGTTTTCCAGCATACCCCAGTCACACCTTGCCCAAAATTTAGGAATATTCAGTCCCCTAAGCAGTTCTGGATGTTTGGAGCTGCAGTGAGAGGTTTGGGGTGTTTGGAACTGCACAAAAGCAGCCCTGAAGGTATTTCATTTTTCTCATCCCCATTTCTCCATGAGAGAGAAAATACAGAAAGTAAAGTTCTCCTCATCAGTCTCAGATGAGGGAATGTATTATCCATTAAAAGTCTCAGATTTAATGATCCTGCTTTGTCTGCACCTCTTTGGCTCATCACAATATTGTCATTTATATTTATGAGATTAGAGAGAGATTTAACATGTTATGAACTTCCCAAATCCTTGGATTAAAAACCAAAAAAAAACAAAAAAAAGGAAGAGCTTTTAATTTTAAGTTGAACAAAACAAACCAAGCCAAATATCAAGGGGCAAGAAGAGAATCCTGGTGGGCAGAGAAAAGTGGAAAAGCACAAGAATTCCATTCTGGCTTCAATTTTGGAATGTCTTTCAGGGGGCCAGTTTATCAGTGCCAGGCAAACTGCTGGGATTAAATAGAGTGATGTCCCTGGGACAGAACACCTGGGAAGCCCCAGGTGGTGACCTCCTGAGCTGAACAGGGCAAGGATGAACATTCCCCCTAATTGGATGATTTCCCCCCTGCCTGATGTGTCACCAGGAACTCCTGGCCTGCTCCTTTACCAGAGATCTCTGCCAAGGAAACTTCCCAGGCCTGTCACAATCTGCTTTGCTTCTTCCCACTAATCCTTTGGCCTCTTTCCAGGTTTTTTGGTCAAAAATATCAGAAAAGCCTAAGAGCTGATGACATGGATAACTCAGAGCCAGACTTGTACAAAGGAAAGGAGCACTGCAGGTCTCTGCCTTGATTTCCTCACTTATTCATCCACTTCATTCTACCAAACCACCCTCTGTGGCTTTGACCAAAAGCATCTCCTGAAATCCCAGACCTTGGAGGTCCAAAGTCTTGAGCTCAATCCCCAAGGTCTGCCCACCTTCTCCTGGCTGTGCCAGGCCCAGCAGCCATTCCTGGGGAACTCCAGGCAAATGAAGGTCCCCGTGCCTCCTGACAAATCTTCCACACCAGGACCTGGGACAGGGACATTTGAAGGGTTCTGAAGGGCTGGGGGCCACAGGATTGAGGGAGAAGACAAATAGTGGATTCTGGAGCGGGTTGAAGTCTCACCACTCACAAAATTGTCCTGCCAGGCCTGAACCTTGTTCATCCTTTGCCTTCTGTGTGTGCAGCAGCCACAATTCCCCTCCAGACCTGCAATTCCTTCTGGGCCCAGCCAGTCCCTTCCTGACCACAACAGTGTCAAGGACATCTCCACCCTTGCTGCTTCTGGGCTCTCCTGCAATCCCTGGGCACAGCATTTTGGATCAGTCTGGAAAAGCACTGGCTCCGTTTCTGGGTCAGAACCTGTGGAAATCAGCATCTTCCACAGTCATGGCTTTGAAAAGCCAGCTCCAGCAGGGAGGGGAGTGACCTTTCCAGAGCAGAAGGATCCTTTCTGAAGCTGCCAGGAGAGCATTTTGTTCTTGCACTGCTGAGCCCTCTCACAGAGGGCTCTGGGCTGACTTTTCTCCTTCCCCTACTTTAAATTATTTTCCTTTCCTTGAAATTACTGCCAGACTTGGAAGAGAAAAGCAAAAAAAGAACTTTTTTTAGGTGAAGTATGAAAGAAAAGTGAAGTGGTGCAGAGCAGGCCTTGCCTGTGTGACCAGACCCTACTGAGGTTCTCCAGCCCTTCCTGGAGGGACATGGAAGGGAACAAGGAGCCTCTGGGTGACCGGGAATATTCCTTTTCTCCATCTCCACAGGCACTTGGGCAATGCTGTCCTCACCTGCAGTGGCTCCACAGGACACGTGACCCTGCCACACTGACAGCTCTATTTTGCTCCCACTCCAAGATGATTTGCAGCCAAAAAAATAAAAAATAAAAAAAAATAATAAAAAAAAAAAGTTAAGATGCAAAAGCAAGAAAATTGTGTCAATGGTGTTTGGCTGTGGCCCAAGCCCAGGAACACAGCAGGCGTGGGAGCTCCCTTGGATGTTTTTGCTTGATGAACGCCCACTTGAAACGGCTGAGGAATTTCAATATTTG